AGAATCATAGAATCATCAGGTCCTTTTCCAACAGGCAGCTTTCCAGCCACTCTGACTCTGTATTGTGCTTTCACATAATTAAGTCACACCACAAAAGATTTTTCATATTTCAAGTTACATGAAATCCTAAATAATGACAGTCCTAAAAAAGCTACATTTTTTTTGAAAAAAATTTCTGAAACATGTAAACATAAATAGTTTTTAATTTTTTCAGAGAAAATAATGACATACCTGACAGAAAAAAACAGTCACGCTCACTAATAAGATTAACTTCAGTCATCTTTTAAAGGAAAAAAATGATGATAATATGTAATTACATATTCCTCATGCCCACCAGTTCACATCTTTTTTCTACTTTTTCGGAAACATCATCATTGTGAAATGCCAGCATTAACATAGCTAGAAACCTACCTTCCTATAAGCTGCACGGCTTCCTTTGTCAGTCTCTGAGTAAGGTTCTCATAGGATAGTGGTTGCTGGATAATCTGATGGTCCCTCATTAAGAAGCAGTTCAGGTGTCGAAAATGATAAAAGAAAAAGATCAAAACCGCAAGTGAAATAGCGGTTATTAACAAGCAGTAAGCCAATGCTTGGAAAGGTACTTTGAGGAGACCAATGTACTGTACTATTGCCAAAGAGACCAGGGTGATTCCAGCAATTTGGATTGGGATGACAAGGGATTTCTGGACCCCTTTTAAAAACACGCTGCCTTGGCCAGGTTTGCAGTCTCTAAAATTGGTCACGGTAAGCCCATAAAAGTAATCAAATCCATGACTGAGGGGGTGGTGACAGAAGTCATTACTACTTTCACAGTTCATCCCAAGATGCCACTTTCCTACAAAGAGAGAAGGACAGGGAGTATTTTTTGGTTAAATCATCAAACTTATAATGTGCACTACTCCAAACTGTTACTATCTGACTGATATCCTCCACCCCCAGGATTTATTGTGCGGATCCCTATTTTCTACCTAATCTTTCTTTATGCCTTCATCAAAGACTTTGTTTCATGTCTGCCTCTTCGTTTTAGTTAGAAATAGTTTGGCACACCTCCTGATGGAGACCATTAATTTCTGAGTGGGCTAGCAGGTCACTGAAGAACAACAGAGCCCTAACAGATAGTTAACTTTGAAAATGAAGCCTTTGTGCATGTGTAGTCATAAGAAAATACTGTTTTGTAGCAGCTACTGCCAATACGGAGTTATGAAATATCCTTTCTGAAATTTTTCTGGCAAATCATTCACATTTGACTAGTTTTTTTTTTTTTTAAAAAAGAAGAAAACAGTAACAAACAGGAAATAAATCAAGAACAGTGAAATTACCAAGGCATTTATTATTTAAATGATTTATAAATTAAAAAAGAAACAACAGTAACAAGTAAATTACCACCAAATACTATCTCTCACAGCATTTCGTCTCAGTAGGAAATCATTCTAATTCTGCAATAACGTTGGACACTGACTGACACAAGAAAACAGTAAGTCTGATTTGCATTATAGTAGCATAATCTATGTTCATGCTGATTACAGTAAGTATTTAGATAATTCATTCTGTGACTCAGGTACAACCCCTTACCATATGCTTATGCATCAGTTAGTGCAACAGGCCTAACTGGTAGCTGTTATTTAAATTCAAATGCATAATTAAAAAAAATTCAAATTCAGTTAAGCCTATTGACATAAATTATGGCTAGAGCTATGCTCTTTGGTCTCAGCAAGGAAATGTGTTGAATATTTGACAAAATGTGTCACCCTTGACAAAACAGATGACAATATATATTGCTGGGCCAAATTTTATTTATTTTTTCTGAATCAAATACCTAAACATGACCAGCATAATTCAGGGGTTGTGATCTTAAAAGAAACAAACAAAAAAACCCGCAAACCCAGCAAGTCCTCAACCCCATAACCTAGCCCAAAGAAATTTGAAATATTTTGCTCTAGAGACTTCAGGATACACATGGTAGAAAGTACATGAAAGGCATAAAGCATATACAGAATTTTCCCCTTTCCCGAACCGTCCCAGCTTTTACACATCTGTAAGAAAGAGTCCTGATGCAGGCAGTCCTGAGCATCTCCTGGGTCTAAAGAGCAGCATATCCATCCTGCACTGCTGCCTTTGGCTATGACAAATGAGGGCACTGCAGTACCAAAGAGGGTGAAGATGGGGGTCAGTTCTGATTTTTTGAAATAGTACCTAGCAAGTGAGCTCGATGTCATTATTTCTCTTTCACAAATGACAGAACTAAGGTATGGGTTGGCAATGTCTAAGTTCATCCGTCAGCAAAGGTGGAGAAAAATACTACAGAAATCATGAGCCTAATTGAATGCTCACTTGAGAGTCCAGTTCTCCTCGTACATCTCTTGATGGTCTTAGGTTAGAAATACCTTCTGTATATCATAGAAGCAGGTATGAAGGCATTTTCAGGTCTGCTGATGTGTCAGTGGAATGGAGGCCTCTACAGCTTTCTCATCCCATCAGAAGTTTTCCCACCTACTGTCAGATGGCTCCCCTCACCCGAGGCAGTATTCTGCTTTCCGTGGGCAGAATGGCTCTACTAACTACTTTTGACATGGTCCAGTGAACATTATTGTGGCCGATTACAAAAATAGCAATGCAGACCACTGTACTGATTTTTTAGATGTTATAATGGTGCCATAAAGGGCTAGCTAAGACTGCAACTCTGAATTTCATTCACAGGAAGAAAAGACACAGATTTTGGAAAATAAATGCTTCAATGTTTTCTCTTAGGTTTACATGACTGTCTTTATGGAATAATCATAAAGCCAGATGTGTAGCAAGGTCAGCATGAAACAACTCTCATCAAGTTAAGTAATTGAAATAAAGGTAGAGGCTTATAATCACAAATATAAATGATCTTAAAGCTTTAATTTTTAATTTTTTGCTGTTATTTGTCAATCTCAAAGCACCTATAATTCAGTAAAAAAATATGAAAAAGAAACCCAAACAAGTTAAATATACTTTCAAGGTCATTTATTATGATATAAAGAAGTTCGTTTAAACTGGATCTCAATAAAACTAGACATTGCAAGCCAGGACAGAAGAATCTTGCAACAACAAATTAGACAGGGGAAAATATAGGACCTATTTTTATCACAAGGGTTTTAGCAAGCACAACAAATTGTTCAATGTCAAGATGAACTTGCGCCTCAAAAAAAGATTTGTTCAGAAGCAACTTAAGCCAAACAAAGCAGAGATCAGGTTAGCTGGGAAAAGCAACAGAAGCACAGAAAGACACAATTGCCATTCTCAAATGGCTGACGAGGTAAGTTTGATAGGTCCTGCCCTACTCTGAAAAAGCAAGTGATGACTGGGTCCACAATACATGTTTTGTTTCATTCCTTGTGACAATAACCGCTGCCTTGAGCTAGCGTTTTAACAGATTATTGTAATGTGCTTTACACTCTGGGGCCTTTCTGAATCTGAGAGCAGTGCAAAATGCTCTCACCTCTTTGCGAAGTGAAGCTTCGTAGTACGGACACTTCACACAAGCACCATACACATTTCAGCAGACTCTACCAAGCTTTTGAGTGAAATTTATGCTGTTAATTGTAAATTACGAGTACCTTAATAGTTTGAGACTTAGGCTTTTTTCCCTCTCCTTCTGCCACAATTAAGATTTCTGCAGAGCAAAAGCAATGCAATGAAAGGCAAGTGGAAATGAGAGGCAAGTCCTATTCAGCCAAGAAACTTCTTTTGGGACTCAGTTTTTCAGAACCCAGAAAGCTAGAAAAATCCATGTTTTTCCCTCTACTTTCTCCTCAGACAGTTGAAAAGGGAGCAATCTGAAAACTGAGTTATATATACTGATATATTTCTTTTGGTATGATTTTGTGCTCTAAATGGTAAGATGCAAGATGCAGAGCAAGATGCAAACAAATATTTTATGTGCTCAAAGAAATATATGTATAAGATATACATAGCAATAATAATATAAAGTATATATGCATATATTATTAATACAATCAGATTTTAAGCTGTTCTATTAATAACTCTTCTATTAAACCTACTTCATAGACTCAGCCAATCTTGTGTTTCTCACTACTGTGATCGTGTGTCCAAATATTACAACAACTTGTTCTGGAGGAAAGATACAAGTCCCAGTTTATCCATTAGTATTTTAAACTTTGGAGATGAGCTACATAGGTGGATTTTAAACTTCTCTAGATAGTAGACAACACACTTGGATAACAGTACTGAGGAAAAGTTGACCTTTACTCAACTGTAATTGAGTACAGCAGTAGTTAAAATAATACCCATCTACTTTCAGTGGAATTTTTGCATTATGAATAGCTATTTCCTACAAAACATCAACATTTCTTGCTACTCTCCAGGATCCTTAACTGGTGAAATATTACATATTCAATGCATCTGCCTTTTTTGAGAAAACTTGGTTTTGTTGCAGATCTTCTGACTGTGTCTCTTCCTGCCAGATCTATTGGATGTCACCTTCTTTGTGTCACAGGGGAAAAAAAATGAGGTAAAAAAGTGTACCTGTAAAATAGATTTATAGCTGAAATATATTTAGGGACGTATCAAGCAAGAGGAAGCATATATTCAGAGGAGGGGAAAAAAAATTAAAAGGAAAGGAAAATGCATTTAGGAAAGAAAAAAATGTCCTTAGAGAGTAAAGGGGAAAGAAACTTGGCAAAAAAAAGAAGTGACAGTACAGGCTTGAGGAACTGAAAGGCTTCAAATTACCCTTATGCCAATCCATCACTGGTGCGGGATTTGACAATTAATTGTTTGGGAACTGCTGAGTTGGACTGAACCAAGCAAAGACTCCATGACCTAGACCAATATGATGTGATAAGAATACCAGCAGAGGCAGCAAATGGGCTGGTTGGGAATCAGAGTCTGTCTATCTAGTCTTCAAATCTACATAATTTTTCTTTTTGTCATTTACATACACTTTATCCTTTATTTTAATGCACTTCTTGATTTTTGGAAGCCTTCATTATACACTAAGGATATGGTAATATTACATCTTATGGTTTCATAGCTATCATTCAGGCCACTTGGAAGAATTGTTCATTAAGCATCATGGAGATAACTTCTGGAGATCTAAGTGGCAAGCTGTCATGTTGCAGTGAAAGCAGTTAAAAAAGGAACATTAACTAGGTCAGCCCCAGAAAATGAGTTGTATTACAGTGCTTGTTACAAACAGAAAAATGATTTTTTTTGCATCTTTAGTTGAATATGGAGCAATAGGAATTAACTCCATGATGAACATGATGAATTATGAATGGTCTTTTTGCACTATGGTTCAAATGCACCTGCACTAAATATACTTCTGTTAAGATTTTCTTGTTTTCTGTCAGAACATGAAGGCATTTTATACTTATAAGACTGTAGTATAGCTAAGTAGGATTTTTAAGTTAGGAACATCAACATTAGTTATCTACGTAATATGGATATTTTCTGAACAGCGGTGTGAATTGTTAGCCTTGCTAAACAGCCTGATTTTTAAACAAAAATTACTCTGAAAATTGCGAGCTTTTGTTACATTTAAAAACCAAATTGGGTGCATCCAGCTTCTAAAAGAATGTAGTAACATTCCAGTATGATGTTCTCTAAACAACTACTTCCTGGCAATTTCAGTACAGAAACGTACATTATGTAATACAAGTTGTATTTCACAAAAATCTTCTAAAATATAAGCAGTGTGGAATAAGTCAGTGGCCAAATTAGGAAAAAAAATCACGTTATTTAAATGCTATACCTTTATGATATTCATTCCAATTCCGTTTAATATTCATCTGGTGGGATTCCTTTTACCCATTACAGGGTATTTATGCTGCAGTTAGGTGTCTGAACTATCTTTATAATGAGAGAGAAACACATTTTTGTATTAAACATCTACCACAGGATGAGACAAATTTACTAGAAATGCCCATTTCTGTCTGATGACTAAGAAGAGAATCCAGACGGTTAGCCCAGGTACTACATTATCTACTTTATGGATATTTGAAAACTGGTGAAATGAATCCCACCACTGTGCTGACTTGTGCCCTGCGATCCATCCCTCATTGTCCCTCTGTTGTAATCAAACTCCTCTTTATACTGAAAACTTTTCAAGAGCTTGACTAATTTTCAATTTGTTCATGTTTCTTCAGTACCTTGCACAATGAGACTATAACTACGCAAGTGAATCAGACATACTTACCTGATCAGTGTTTCACATATGCATGGGAATGTGCTCAGCTTTGTGCCAGCAAAATAAACTCATTATGCTGTGGGGGAAAAAAGCTTAATGCATACCTTTAATAGCCTATATGGAAAGCTAATGTTCTTTTGATTGAAATTAATTAAAAATAACGCTGTGTATGTATGCAATTTTACCTATTAGAGCTGTTGCATAACCTCTCTGCTTCAGGAGTTTGGAAAAAGTTATTTCTTCAGAAGGAAGTCCCCCAGAAGAGGCGGAAAATAAGAAGACACCAACTCGTGAGAAGGCGGACATTCCTAAGTACAATGAAAATGAATGAGACTTGGATAATATAATGAAACAATTTCCATTCATTCTTTCTGCATGCACTTTTTTACTTTAGGTGGTGTCACTTAAATGACATATTACCACCAGATGCTAAACATTGCAAGTGGCAGATACAATCATCCATTTAGTTGAGTGAGGTCTTTTCTGTATTGACACCAGAAATTGAGAAGTGGAGAAAAAATTTTCTGCTTATAACTGCGGGGCCAGCCATCACATAAACAGCTGCAGCCCCTTCTGTAGATGTTCTAAGGTATAACATATCTGAAAGAAGTTGAGCTTGCATAATTTATTTTTCTTGTACACAGAGAAGGAATGGAGCGAGGTCACTCCCAAGTTCTACTCTCAGAACTTCCGCTTTCCTCATACGTGGTTTTCTACAAGCCTCTAAGGTTATTTGAGAGAAGGGAGTTGAAGTAGGGCAGTCTTACAGCTGGGCATGTAAATATCATTAAGTCAAAAAAGAGCAAGAGAGAGTCTGATTCTGGAAACAGAGTGCGTAGGGCACTCAGCTTTGATGGGAGAGGACCAGTGCTCCAATGGCACGAAGACACATCATTCAATGCACGCAGAATGCATTAAAGCAGCATCAGGTATCAGCTAACAAGACAACATCTAAATAAGGCACAGTAATTTCTATATACTGAGAGTCTGAGGAACACAAACTTGAGCTTATAAACTACTCTCAGGATGAGGAACTTGAGAGCTCAGGTTCATGAAAATTAGATTACTAGGATTCCAGATGAGAGCTGGCTCCGAGTATAGACAGACAGAACACAGAACATCTACGCAAATCTGTGCAGACTTCTCCAGGAAGTCTGAATTATGCAAATGGATTATTGCAGTGCCAAAGTTACATGACTGATGTAGACAACCGGAATCTTCCCTCAGGTATCCCTTGTGGTTAGATGAGAAAAAGACTCGTTAGACTGGTTTATTAGAGAGCTCAACCTACCCCTCAAATGTTGACTTCAGTTTTTCACCCCAGCTAGCTTTACTGATCAACAGTTTAGGTAGTTTTAGTCATCTATACATATCTATACTTTATTTATTATATATTTATTTATATTTATTTTTATGTACTTTGATTTCTTGTACCTGAAATCAGTGTAATTCCCTTAAGTTACCAGAATGAAAGTACAGAACCATGATTTTGCGTTTTTTTTTTCATCATTACCTTTCTATGAGTTTGTGTCTCATCAAATACTGCATTTTGGAATAGTTTTCTTCAGCTCTATTAGCAGGAGTTTTAAATTTCTAACATTTTATTCCACAGCGTGATTCTAGTATCTTCTATAATAATCCTTTACTAGTTCTTCACTGATGTTTGGAAGTAGTCCATACTTAGCAATTTCATAATTTAATTAAGACAATGTTCAATTTTTGCACCTACATGGAAATGATTAAGTATGACTGAGAGCAGATCAGTTAAGAAAAAAAATCATTTCAAATGCTGAATGTGATGGATCGTAATGGAAAGTGACCTGTGGCTTTACTACAGTAAATATTAATAGCAATATAGCTGTAACAGGTATATAAAATTTTCCTTTGCAGCTGAATGTAATGGAAAATTTAGCAAGTTATATTAGCTGGCACTTTTGCAGAAGCTTGTTACTTGATTTGAATGAGCACGAACATATCAAGTAGGCTCCAGAGTCTTGCTTTGCCTTCATTCCCAGAAGCAAGGACAGGATGTTTTATCACTAATGAACAAGTGATCTTATTAATGTATAATGATCCTTGCTAAAAATGATGTTAAAGGAATGTTAAAGTTGCATGTCTAAGCACTGAAGGGCTCAGTTCCAGCACACTAAAATAAACAGACTGGATCCCTACTGACTCAAATGGGCTTTGGATCAGGTATTTTAAAAGTAAGAGAAGCTATTAAATGCATGTATTCATAGGATACTTAACACTGTGTATGGGTAGACATGGAACAAAAATACTTAGCAAGAAAGGAGATTTTTTGCTTTGTTCTTCCCAGCTTTAAGGGCTGCTGGAATACCTTAACGAACTGTCTTTCCCCCCCCTCCCCTGAAAAAATAACAATTTGTCTAAACCAAAAGGTTTTGTAGAAACAGAAATGTCTGAGCAGAAGGATTCACACTGGCTTCTTCCACTGTGTCTTTCTAGATGCATCTCTGTGATGTTCAACACCCAGGCTGCCCACCAACATCCTGGGAGCGGCCTGAATGCAGCTGGGGAGGCAGGCAAAGAGCCCACGGTCATTTGGACAGTGGAGGAAGTCGATGGAATTTGTCTGCTCCTTACATTAAATAACCACAATCAGATTTTTTCCTCAGTATTTAAAAAAAAAAAATTTTTCTCAATTAAAAAAACCCCAACTTTATTTTTGTGTTAACTCTTCTGAAACATGAAAATTTCATAGAATCATAGAATATGGAAGATTTCAAATGTTGATCAACTCTGCTGAGCTTGTTTAGTCACTGAAATGAATACCTAACCCAGTAATGATAAAAATATCAAGAAAGGCCAGAATAAAAATTGCATACAGTTTACTGCACATAAAATATGATATTTATATATAAATAAAGTAATGGGATTTTACCTGATCTGATAGGATATCGCCCTGTCAGGAAAGCTGCCCTGCTTGGAGTACAAAGTGGGGATGCTGCTATGTGCTGAGTAAGTGTCACTCCTTCCTCTGCTAGCTTGTCAATATTAGGGGTTCTAGAAAAACATAAGCAGGAAAAAAAATAAAAGAAGACACAGAGATGATTATTTGGAAATGGACGTGGTGAGAGCAAGGCATCCGAGGCAAAAACTATCAGGAAAATCAAATTAAGACTTACTGTATGCAAATTATCCAAACCATGGTGGTGTTGCAATTCTAAACACTGTCGTGTCAAATATTTTTACATTAGGTGTCAACACTGAACTGAGACACTGTGGCATTGTGCCAAAAATCTCTTTCCCCACTTTCATCTACTCATCATGGTCAGTACTACACTGTGACACCTGGACGTGTTGTATTGCAACCCTTTTTAATGCATTCCTTGATCCAGAACTGTAACTTTGCTACTTACATGGCCTTTCTGCTTCAGCAATGGGGAGAGGAGAGACTGGAGAAAGGTTGTGCTTCCTTACCCCCTACTTGGTGTCACTTCTCTCTTTCCCCAGCAAAAGTTTTTTCAGGTAGGGGTAATGTTGTGTGGTGGTATCAGTTATTAGGAGAGATTCAAACAGTCATGACTCTGTGTTAGGCTCTATATTAATGATGTTTACATGTCTGACATGACTATGTCTGCAACACTAGACCCAGGAGCACATCCAAGTTTCCATATCTGCATGGGAAACTTGTCTGTGACCTGGCTCATCATGCAGATGAAAATTGGTTCCTGGAGGAAGAAGTCATGTGCCCTTGGTTCTACAGAAAGAAAACTAGGAATACAGACTGGTCAGGAACTGCAGCACGCTCCAACAGGTCCCTGACCTGGGATATTAATGACCATGACCTCAAGGCACACTAGTGCTCCCATCATCTAAGTCTGAAGAGTCAGAAACATTAATTATCCTCAGCCTTCTTTGCTATCTATAACATCACCTACTGATAACTAGCAGTATGGTGGAATTTCTTTGTACTCCAAAGATCTAATTCTGAATTGTCACATGAGAGAACATAGATCTTGGAGGAATTCTGGTCTTGGGAGGGGAGTGATCCAAGCAACAGTGTTGTATATTTTTTTTCCTGTTTAAAACTAGAAGCCGTAACTTGAGTGATTTTTGTTGAGTTTGAGTTATGAGGAGTTTTTACTTCCAACTAACTTCAGCAGGAGCAAGAGTATTTAACATTTGACAGGACGGTGCTTTTAGTCTGAGTGTTGTATTTAACTTGATCAAAGACTTTGCACCACTGAAACACAATGAGTAGGTACAACCTGTGCTGTTTACACAGCCATCATACCTAAGCTGGTAGTAAGGATCATATTGGGGAACACTGCTGAATTACTCAGATATATTAACATTTATTTTAATGAATTTATTGACTGAAGCATGAAGATAAATGAAGGAAAAAATCAGCACTTTATTTCCAGTTGGTTAGTGACAAGCGTGTCTCAAATCACGAGTGCTTCAAAATATGCTTTATTCATAGTATTTCTGTCATGTATATTTTGAAAAAAAATTGTTGATTATACTTTGCTTCTCTAGACCTACCCTTATTTGGTTGGTTGCTCAATTCTCTCTTTATGATGCAACTTTTCAGCAGGATCAATACCTCAGAAAAGTAATTTTTTCTTATTAAGAAAAGAAAACAAAGATCGACTATTCTGTTCTCTGGAAAGGTGGTTAACTTTGGTTACTTATAAAGAACCTAATCAAATCTCTGAATGTTTTGGTGTTTTTAACTTTACAAATCTAAAAAACTAAAATATAAAAAACTAAATTTAAAAAAAATAACTAAATAAAAAAAAATAAAGCTATGACTCCCCCAAATGTATCATCATACCTTAAGGTTCTGTTCCCATAACATCCAAGGTCTCCAATACCAAGATCATCAGCCATCAGTAAAATGACATTGGGATTTGAAGCATGGTGGGTATCGACACTGTTTATGGCACACTGGCAAATTATTACAAATAAAAGGAGTCTCATCTTCTTCCTGGTGTGTAAGAACAGGTGGAAAACATAATAGATAAAGACCTTTTTTTTCATTTGACTGTTAATTTAATCTAAACCCATTATTGCCCCAGATTGTATAGTAGAAGAGAAAAAGAAAATTAGATTGTATGTTTTTATTTGACTTTTTTTTCAAGAGGCTTATTATTTTCTCTGTCATATTTTTTAAAAATAAACATGCATCTTTTAGTACATAGCTAATCTTTCCTTCCACACCTCTACACAGATGAAGCCTTTAAATAATGACAAACAAAGAACCAGTGACAACCTCAGTGACAATACTTTTGCATACACAGATGCACTACACAGCAGTAAATCATAAGAGCAAATAAGGCTTTTTTTTTTTTTCTTTAGCTATAAATTTGATTTGAGGAACATAGAAACTAAAATCATTTAAGACCAAAATTTCCAAGGTTCATTGCAGAAAAAAAGTTCATCAATTCTGCTACTGAAGTATTTTCAGCATTTTCTCTTCAGCAAGGGAAAAAAAAAATCTGCTGGAGTTTCTTGACAGGAATGAGTATTATGGCAAAGGGGATGAAGAGATGCACTGCCAAATTATTGAAAGGAATGTTTAAGAAAAAGCTCTTTATAAACATTTTAAATATCAGGGCCTATAGCAAAATTATGTAAAAATATTTGATATCCTATCACAATGTTCTATAAACAAAGCTCATGCTATATCCAACTTAAAACAGGAAGAACAATGTATTGTACACAATACTAGACACCACTATATGCTTTTATGACAAAAGTACAGTCTATTGCAGATGTGCATGCTATGAATACTATTTTACCTAAACAGCGACTTGTCATATCTCTGTTTTAAACTGCATTGACTATGCCCTGGCTGAAATTGAGTGTCTCTAGGCTGTGATGGACTGTGCCAGGTATACACATCAAAAAAGAACAGAGACTGTCTCTCTTTTGCCCCTAGTAATACTCCCACCTTTTCTGGATGCAGGCAGCCTTTTTCAAATGCAGATGAGACATGAGTCACACCTGCACTCTGGATGTGCAGGTGTCTTGCTGGGACAAGAAGGAAAGCGGAGGAAACCAAGACTGAGGTAGAAATTTGAAAGTGAAAGAGTAGGCAAAGGAACTAGAAACAAGAACTTCCAGAGAGAATGGGGACAGCAGGTCAAGAAAGAAAAAACTTGTAAATCAGTGAGTTATGGTAGATAAAAGTAGCTGGAGAGAAGATAAAGAAGCCAGAACTGGAAGAGCTGGTACAAAGAGACTAGACATCAAGAAACACAGATTCTTAAATCAGTGAGGTGTGGTGGGTAAAAGTATCTGTAGCAAAGACGAAGTAGTCAGAACTGGAAGAGCTTGCACTGACCTGAATAAAGAGCAAGAAGGGAAGCTTGAGACCCAGTTGGAATGAGAATTGAAATGGTAGAGGGTTTAAGAAACTGGAAGGGATAGTATGACAGTGAATAGGAAAACAAATCAAGGAAAAGAGGTGAGAGAACTGGGAGTGTCTGGGATGAAAGAACTGAGGAGTTATGATTAAGGAAGATGAAGGGAACTGATTGGAAAGAAGAGCCTGCGCAGATAAGACACGGGACTGACACAAGCTAGTACAGATCAAGATAGTGGGGATCAACCAAGACAGACTGGGACTTCTGATTCCCAACCTTCATTATTGCCATTCTGTCAGAAAGTACAGGTGCAAAGAGGATTTAAACTCTTTCAGTGCTTGTTCACATACAGATAAAACACTAATAATAATATTAGCTGATTTTTACTGCTTAACATACACTTTATGACCCATTGACCTCACTTTGATGACAACAGTTCTGGTTTAGACTTCAGCTGACAACACCTGAAGATCCCAGCCTTATTACTGTGGCAACAGATCATTACCTGGTTTACCTCATGGGAAGGAAACTACTTCATTTCAGACAAGAAAAATACATACACAAACTTTAAGAATGCACTGGTTTTGGCTGGGAGAGAGTTAATTTTCTTCACAGCAGCTAGTATGGGGCTGTGTTTTGGATTTGTGCTGAAAACAGTGTGGATAACACAGGGATGTTTTTGTTATTGCTGAGCAGTGCTTGCACAGAGTCAAGGCCTTTTCTGCTTCTCACCCCACCCCACCAGCGAGTAGGCTGGGGGTGCACAAGAAGCTGGGTGGGGAAGACGACCAGCCTGGCTGAACAGGGAGCTCTTGCTGGGACTCAGGAAAAAAAGGAGAGTTTACCACTTGTGGAAGAAGGGGCAGGCGACTCAAGAAGAGTACAGGGATCTCGTTAGGTCATGCAGAGAAGAAA